TACTTTGTATGAAGTTGCTCAGTAATTGGACACTCCTATGTGAAGTATATGGCATCTGAAGATGCAGATATTAATCTATAAACTGCTCATCTTTGCCTCTGGGGAGGATGTTGTAAATACCAGGTGATAAGAGATGCTGAGAGCAACACACCCTTATTTTAATTATTTTATCTGAAGAAGGGACAAAATGTCCCATTTTGTAAACTCAGGTTTTGTTCTGTGCCAATAATAATTTATTTACGCAAAATGGAAAACATCCACAAGAGCTATTTTGGAAGTTAGGAGACCAGGATTCAGAACTGTGCTTGAATTAAGACTGTTAGTATGATGAGATCCAAATTTGACTAAAACTTCCATCTTTTTGTTCTATTTTTTTTTTTCTTCCCTGCAGATTTGTTCTATCTCTCCCTGCTTGATTGATTTCTCCAGCTTGTAACTTATTGTAAGATCAGGGCTTATTAATCACAGGTCTTCCAGGCAGTTTTAAAGGAATGTGGTGTGATGTTTCATTTCTGTAACCACTCTCACTTTTTGATGAAATAATGGTATATAGCCAGTTGTGGTAACCCTTCTAGGAGGGCAAAAAATCCTAGTAGTGTGTCAGCCAGCTATCGGAGCCTCTCTCTCTTTGTCTGAGAAAGCCTGCCCTCTTCTGGGTGAAGTTACAGCTGGATAAATTATCAGGACTGCAGTGGAACTGCTTGAGGTTGTCCTCCTTCGTCGGGAGAAGCAGTTGGCTTTCCATGGATAGCTTTGGTGGGCCACTATATTGATATAAAATTCTATGTAGCTGTGGACTTTCTGTTACAATAACAGTAAGGGATAAAATTTGTTGCATTAAGGTTTCAAATATATGCCAATTGTACTGTGTTCTCTGTGGGGGTGTATGTATATCTATCTATCTATCTATCTATCTATCTATCTATCTATCTATCTATCTATCTATCACTTAAAAAAAGATTATGGAAATATGGGTTTTCCTTATTTCTAATAATTTTGCATTCCTGTGAAATTATGTCTCTGCACAACTCTTATTTTTCCTATCAGATCAAAATTCTTTTTGTTAATCCAGATTTCTTTTCAGTTACCTCTTTCTTTTATGTTCTAAAAATATCTTTTTGGGTTTTTTTAGCTCCTTCCCTACCTGACAGAACACCAATAGCTTTTATCAGCCACATCATAAATTGACAAAGGTAATTAACATTTTAATAGTGTTGTAAGTGACAAACCAAATTCCTAGAGCATAAAAAAAATTAAGAAAGTGAAGTTTCTAAGTCAGTCCTGGGTTCAGTTCTAGAAAATATATACTGTGACCTGTAATCATCACAATGACATTTGAAGACCTACATTAAACAGATTGATTGCAATTCACTCCTGAAGGAGCAGGTGTTCCCATCTCATCAAAAAGGCCAAAAGCTCGCCTGGAATCACCAGGTACCTGCTCAGAGCCTGGCATTGGAACACTTGTGGATTGGTAGGGTCACAAATACACGAGTTCCATTAAGGCAGGCAGCTTGTCTCTGTGCTTAACCAGCTAGTGAAAAAAAAATCTGGGTCTTATACTTTAAGGTAGTGCAATATTAACTCATGTCAGTGTTTGGAGTTCAGTTAGCATGTCTACATTATTTTAGTAAATTTGAATGTGGTTGTTTATAATGCTCTAAAGCTTTACAAACTTGGTCACAGAACAAGATCATGCTGTGCTAAGAGCTTGCACAACATGTCGTTACTCCAAGGAACATTTAGTCTAGCCATAAGACAAGATAAATTGATGGATAAAGGGGGCGTACTGACATGATGCTGCAGCATTGGCCAGCAGGACAGACAGCAAAATTTCTGATCGTATCCAGACAGATTGTTGTACGCATCCTGACATAATATTTTTACTTAAAAATGCTTTGTGCATGTGATGTTACTGGAATACTTGAGTTGTACTGACAGTGAAAGCTAAACACAGAAAATGTAGTCACCACCTTGCTCAATCATGTGTACTTTATTGCCTTGTTAGATAAAGCTGCCCCTTGGCAGCCTTTCCCCATCATCTTTGTTTTATTAATGAGTAGTTTTGCCTTGCATTTTGAAAAGGCCTTTCCTCTTCTGGCAGACCACGCTTTCTGGGGAAGCTAATGCTGGTTGTATATAAGTGATGACTTTCAGCATGGGAAAGATGTGTAAGTAATTTATGAATTAAAGCTTTTTATAGGCTGTTGAACAAACACACCCAAGTACAATAGAATGAGACTATCCGGTTACATATTTTTAAATAAATTATTTTCTTTCTACTTGTATTTATGAAAGTAGTCCAGTCCAGGGTCTCTTTAATCACAAAATGATGGCAAAAAGCAAATTCTGTTGGGTAGTTTCTGGCCTTCTGTTTAACCCCATTAGGGTTTAGAGTTCTACTTCATTTAGACAGTGGGCATGCTGGTGAAAAAGTTTTGTTGTGCTTCAGTGTAGCAGGTCTATAGCTGTGAGATGCATGACTGAGATGTTTAAGGTGTTCCTCTGGCACTGAGGACAAGATTAAAAACTGTGGAGTACACTTCCTTTTGATGTTACTGGAGAAATACCTATTAACTTCCATGGGCCCAAGTAATTGCTCTGCTTTAGAACTGCATTTATGTTACTAAATTTGATTACTTTCAAAGAAAATATATAAACTTCGCCTATTAGTATAGGATTTTGTATTTTATTTACTTGGAAAATAATCAGAATGGTTAAAACAGAGTTAAAGCAAAGGCAAAACTGGAGGTAGCATAGCCAAAATCTAACTCAGTTGGGTATGCTTCCGCCCTTAGTTTTAAGGACAGTCTCAGAGAATAAAAGATTGGAAAATGTTGCTGCCTAAATTAGTCAGCTTTGCTGGGGAGCTTTCCAAAGACACATCACTGCTACCAAAATCTATTTGCAGAATACTTTATAGAAAGTAGGTAGTTTGAAGTCAGCTTTTGAGTAACTTCATGTAGGTAGTTCAAGAACTGTAGTACAAAAAGCTTTCATTTTATGTGGGTTTTTTTGTCCCTTACATTAACAACAAAATGAGGCAGAGTAAGAAAACAAATGTTGATCTCATTGGAAACTTGCTAATGTTTGATTTTTATGCTCTTTAACACAATTACTATGTTTAGGGCCTGTCAGAGCAAGTGGAAAGAATATGTATCTTATCAATATTTTAAAAGATTTTCCTCCTGTCCCTCTTTAAGGGTAAAATTATATTTCAATTATATTTTGTGCAGTTCCCATTTTTACTCTGAAAAAGAAATGTAAACTCCAGTCTGGTAAAGATTTTATTTTGATGCCATACAACCACAAGGCCGTCACTTGTGTTTTTAGCAGATCTTGGGAGGCATTTCCCTTGTCTTCTAGTGCACCTGTCAGACTTACAAAGTCAAATTGCTGAGCTCTGAACACTGCAGTGCTGCTCATCTGGGATGTCTGTGTAAAAATACACTGAGATCTTTATTGCTGATTCCCATTTCTCAACAGTGGACTGGGCTGAATCAGAGAATCTGTTGGAAGATTAATATTTTGATCCTTACTTTATTAGTCTCACTGAGATGCTATTGTATGTGAAGTGAGTTTTAGTGGGAAACAGGTCTTAGTTCTCTGTTTAATCTTTGGTTTAATAAATTCCTCTGCTAACTACTTTCAACACTGATATTTCTTCACTTTATGGTTGTGCTGTTGAATTCTTGCCTTTGTTCTCTTCCACCTCAAAACTCCAGAGTTCTGTCTTTTCCAACACCATTTGTTTTCACATTTCCTTTTCCTTGTGACATGATAAATTATTCTCCTCTATCGAAATTGAGACAGAAAATGTCTGTCTGCTACAGAGAGCTCCTTTTCTTTGCAGCCAGTGTATCTCACTGAACAGAGTGGGTGATTCTTATTGTGTCATTTCACCTTTTATAACTTCTGTCTCTGAAAAACATTCCTATTTCTGATGGAGATCATAGTTCTTTACTCCAGTGTTCATTCTTAGGACCATTATCAAACTTATGTCTTCCTTTCCTCAGCTCTCCAAAAAGTCCAGATCAGTTCTGTCCTTTTTCCTTCCTTTTATTGTTACCACTGCGGCTCCCTATCATTGCCTGAGCTAATTCACCACATCCTCTGTTAAAGTATCTCAAGGCATCTGCAAAGTTTGGAAGAGTAGTTAAAAGTAGTTGCAGTAGATGATAATAACAAACTTCTAGCACGATATTGTTGGTTTGAGCTCTCTGAGATGTGAGAAAGGTAGAACAAGTAAGGGTGAAGGTGACCCAGTTTGCATGGAAACCTCTGCTTGAATTGCACGATTTACCAGCACACACTCCACAAGGTGCAGTGCACAGTAGAGGATTCTTTTGCAAGATCATTCTTGTAATAAGAGCTACAGTTTCCAGAAAAGACACTTTCAAATCGAAATATACCAAAGTGTAACCACTTAAGTACCTTGTGTTCTTGTGGATGTTGAGTTCTGGGCATTTCAACCCCCTTGCAAGAGCGGCATTGCAAAATTATTCTTGTCTGCATGGGGAAGTAAGACTGAGAGACCTGATCTTTTTCTTTTATCTTAGCCAATGTGAGGCCTTCACAAGTTAGGCAGTTGCCTAGGACATGGCAAAACAGTCCCGAGGGTGTCTTGAGGTGTCCTTAGGGTTTCTTCCTATCTGCCTGAAACAGGTTCACTCTGCTCTCTGTGTTCCACTGCTCAGGAAAGTCTGCAGTGCCAACAGAGCACAGGTTCTCCATAGTTTTCACTGAAAAATATACATGAGGTGTCCAGCATAAGACAGAGGAAGAGGCAGATTCCTTGTCGGTAAAGAAATATGAGGGAGGTGACCCAGTTTCCCCAACAATTCCCCTTTTTCTTCCCTATCCCATTAGCCCACATTCTCTTCCTGCCCAGCCCACCAGTGATGCCTAATCTCATTTACAGGGCTGCTGCCAGATCTGCTGGCAGCTGCAGTTTCTTGGCCGCTGTTTTCGGTGAGGGAGCCTAGAGCGCCGAGGAAGAGGAGGAGGAGGGAGGAGGAGGAGGAAGGCTGCTGCTGTGTGGCGGAGCGGCGGCAGCGGCAGCACCTTTGACGTGCCCGTCCCCCACGTGACGGCCGCTCCATTGCGGGGAGGGAGCTGAGCTGAGCTGAGCTGAGCTGAGCTGAGCTGCCGCCGCTCCGGCAGAGCACGGCAGAGCCGCAGCCTCGGCGGCGGCGGCGGCAGCAGCAGCAGCGTCTCCGCCCGCAGTGCGTGTGTGTGCGTGTGTGTGATGAGCGATCGCCGCGTCCCTCCGCCCGCTGCCGGCTGACACCCACCGCGCGGGGCGCGCCAGGAGCCGCAGGAGCAGCCGAGGAGCCGCGGCCAGCTCGCAGTGACCTTGGCCCAGAGGTAACCGAGCGGGCGGGCTCCGAGCCCCTCCGCGCCCCCGCCCCGCGCCTCCCGCCGCGGAGCCGCGGCCCCGCTCCAGCCGGGCCCCCGGGCGGCGCCGCCGCTGTCCGCGGTGCTGGAGGGAGCTGCGGGCGCCGCGCCGGGCTGCCAGCGGGGAGCCGAGCCGGTGCGGTGCGGTGCGCCCGGCCTTTGGCCGCCCGGAGCCGCGCAAACCCCGCGGGCGCTGCGGGGGCAGCGCGGGCCGGAGCGCGGACGGGGGCAGCCAAGCCCGAAGCCGAGGGGACTCGCGGGCTGGGGAGGGCTCGGGGGGTTAGCGCTTGGAGTAGGGCTCGGCGGCTCTCCGGGGTCTCCGCATCCGCCGGTGTGGTCTGTAGATGGAGCACATTCTTACACCTGCGTGCAAAGCCGGAGCTACGGCATGATCCGAGCTCTTGCTCAGTGCAGCTCCCGTGTGACCCGGGGGAGGGCGGGGAGGAGACGGGGCTGGCAGGGAGCCGGTGTTTGGCGGTAAAGTGCGATGAAAGTAGGTGAAAGCAACCGGAACAGTGTTCTGGCTTGGTTCTTCATTTTCCCTCGTCACCTGCTACCCTGCCCCGCCGTATGGGGGGGCACAGATGGGCTGGTGAATTACAGGGAGGTTCAAAGCCTCTGGTTTGCTTTTCGTGCGTTTGGCTGTTGTGAAAGTTGCTACGACCCGAGGTGCGAGCGGAGGGCACTGCTGAATGCACGTCACGGGCCGAGTCAGTGCTCCCAAAACTGGCCTGGAAGGCGCAGAGCGTCCCTTGGTGAGCCCGCGCAGGGGAGGGAGAGGCGCTTCGTGAGGAGGCGTCTGTGTGATGTGGTGGTTAGCGGTGTGGCAGGGAGCTGCTCCCAGTGACAATTCATTAACGTTTAAATTAGATCAACACCTTACATCCATAATTTACCGGCAAAAGAGAGTAATGATAGTAAATGACGAATTAGGAGCTTCGCTCCCATGTAAATATCTGTTGGAGTGAGAGCATACGCTGATTTTGATAACGTGTTGGTAGAAAGTCAGGTCTATTAATCATCAGGGAAGCAAGGAGACCTGAGGCGATGCCCTATTGAAACCACTTTTGCCTTTTACAGTGCAGCATCCAAAAGCGGATCAAATTTGTGGGACATGGCACAAGGAAATAATTATGGGCAAAGCAGCAATGGGGTGGCTGATGAATCCCCAAACATGCTGGTGTACAGAAAGGTAAGCCTTTGTATTTTTCAGAAGCTGAGGAAGGTGAAGTCCTGGGCTTTTTTGCCGAGCAAGTGAAGCCATTATTTTTGTTTCTCTCCAATTTCTTGAATAGGGAAATTACTGTATCTGTTGAATGGTTTGAAATGGTAAAATTTGCACACGTCAACATTGCATCTTGTTCAGAAGCAGCTGCTTTTCAATTTGAGATACTTGATGTATTTCAGTTACTTTCTGCATTGATACATATTATATGTTGTGGTGGTGATGTGCCAGAGATTGGGCCATGTTTTGAGCTCAAGCTTTCACTTTAAAAGTTTTATTTGTAAAAAGATTTCATATGTATTAAAGCTAAATATTAACTGTACAATACAGTGTTTCTGTCTTGTGCCGAGAAGTCGGAACCCCTTATTTATTTCATATGAGGGGAAAAACTGATTAAAGATTTCACTTATCTCTGATTGCCACAAGTCAAAAACCTCCCAAAACCATACACTTTAGAATTTTTCTCTGGAAAGGCTTCTAGTGTAGTTATTCTTACAACACCAATACACTAAATTTCGAGGCCTCACTAATAGTGAGGCTTATTTGTGATTATGCTTTAATTTAAGTGGGAGTAAAGGCTTGGAGATTTTGCATTATGTGGTGTTTTTTTTTTAAAGTCTGAATTGCATCTAAGAAAAAAGAATAACAACATAAATTCCAATAATAGTGGAGAAAAAATAATTTTGCTGTTGTAAATTGAAATAAGTAATTATACAACTGCTTGTTTATTCTTAGAACACAGTGCTTCTTAACTTGTTTGTGGTTGTTTTTACCAGGTGGCAAAAAATCAATACTTTACTTTGTTAGAGGCATTGACTTTTCCCCTTACGAGTTAACTATAATAGAAAACATCTGATATATAATCAGTTTAGTCTTTGCGGTGAACTGAAGTATAAACAGTAACTGTGGTAAGTGTTCTTTTCCCAGAAATTAAGAAATAGTCTTGAATTGAAGTCTGATGCATGCTTTTTTCTCTTCATTATGAGTTGCTGATTTCACTTAGTTTGTTGTATCTGCTGTTTTGTGAAGTTAGGTTCCTTTTTACATAAGTGAATGTGATTATCCTTCTACGAATGCACATCTAGAAAAATATAGGATTACCTTGCCATTAACAGCACAGGTGTGTTTCAAAAGGCAATTGCATACATGAAAATATGCTGTACATATGAAAAGCAATATACCAGATCTTATATTGTTCATTATAGGTTTTTGATCTTTCTAAACAGAATCTTTCCACATTTGCCATTTACTTCAATGCTGGCAAAAAGGTCTTTTCTCCACTTATTTAGGACACAGAGGGACAACACAGAGAAACTGTGTTTCTCTTCCTTTGGTGAGTTTTGTAAAATTTGTGACCTATGGTGTTTTGTATGACCTCATGCCAAAATTTATGATGGCCTCAGGGCAGCTTCACCTCTGAGCAGCATCGAGATTGAATGAACAGCTGAGAGAAGTAACGAGAGTCCTGGTGGTGCACAGGAGATTTGAAAATGAGGAGTGGGAATAGGACACACCACCTCAGGTGTAGGCTCAGCAAATCAAGACATCAAACACCTCTTTTGTTCTCTGTGATACATCTGCAAAGGGATGATATGAATTTGTGTCCTTCAGTGCAGCAGCGGTCCTTCCCTTGTTGTCACTAAGAGCACAAGTTGTGCTCTGAGTATTAAACTTTGAAAAATTCTGACCTTCTACAGCATTGCCTGCCCTATTTGTTTGTGGGGTGTTTTTTTACCTATTTATTTTTGTTGCACAGTGAATTAAAGATAATTTCTGATTATGCACACTGTGTTAGAGTAGGGAGAGAAAACTGAGTAGCCCTTCCTTTGGCAATACTCAAGAAACAGGCAACAAAATAATAGATAGCTTTTCAAGAAGTTGTCTGCCTTTTCTTGAAATAAGATATTGGTGTAAGCAAACATGTTATAAATTCTGGGTCTGGAACATAAAAGGAGGATAGTCAAGTGGAAATCATGCCACCTTAGAGTATGTAATCTCTGAGTATAATTCTTTAATAGGAGCAACTAAATCACAGAATTCCTTGTAATACACTTGAAAACACAACACTTCTCTCTCTGTCTGTCATTGTGTTGGGAATGAGAGCACTGTATGAACAAAGAACTAGATCTGACAGCTTCATGAAGGAGTCTCTTTTTTGGCCAACTGGAAACGTATGAACAGTTTTTAGAAAAAAAATATAAACATGCTACTGGCTGGGTTCAGTCAGAACTGAATTTGAAGTCTTATATTTTAAATAATGTTGTCAAAATGCACAAAGGTGGAAATGCTTTCTTCCAGTAGTTTATACATGAACAGATGGAAAATCACACATTTTGTGATATCTGTATTGGCAAAGAGTAGATGGGATATCTCTTACTTACGTTAATGGAGAGTTAAAATTTGGCTGTCCTGTGAAGACTGTTATTTTGGCTATAAACCACAGTTTTGTAATCTGGTCATTCTTCCAGTCTGTCTAACTTCTGGACACAATCTGATCTAAGTATGTTCCTAACTACATGGAGTTACAGCCCTGTATTGCCTAAATCCCGATTCTTCAGGAGCATTGTATAAAAAAATTTATACAGAATCAAGTCTTAGTGTTTTCAAATTTGGTTTTTAAGGCTTAATTCAAACTCTTCAAACTCTTGACAAAAAAGGGCTGGTTTTCTATTTTTAAAAATGCATTTGTTTTTTGATTAGTTGCTTATTTGAAGAATTGAACAATTGATAATCAAATTGTAATCTCAAGTAATATAGAGTGTAGATAGTATCTTATTCTCATAGTAGCTTTTATTCCTAGCTGAACAGTGGTTTCATTACATTTTGGTTTCAAAAAAGAATTTAAAAAAATCAGCATAGGATAATTCAATATTCAATACACACAAAACTAAGAATAACTTGAATCTGGAAAAGACAGCAGCACTGATAAATAGTTCCCTATATAATTTTTACTCTGCCTTTTAAGATGCTTGTGTCAGTGTTTTTATGCCTTGGGGAATAATTTTTATTTTAATAGGATGTCAGCTGCATTATTCTTTTTGTCTATCAGCCTAATTATAAAGTAATGACATGTGACACATCATTGGCACTGACATACCTTAGAAAAAGTCCTGAATTTTTCTGCTGGTACCCGAGGCAAATATGAAAAATGTAAAACCCCTCCTTTCATTTCTTCTCTGACAGAGTCCGTTCTAGTCAGCAATTAAAAGAGATAAGAGACTGAAATCCCTAGTATTTTAACATCACAAATTGCTCATGCAGAAATCTCATATTTTGGCAACACTAACTTGCTGCATCAAGCTAGGTCTTAGGGAAGAAACTTTAGATGTAGTAGTGTAATGGAAGGCCCATACTGTGGAGTTTTTCTAAGTTTCAGAGCCTGACCAGCCTTTTCTTTTTTTTAATAGTTTTAAATCTCTGCGCACAATTATAAGAATGAGAATTTCCTGTTAGGAACTTCTGTTTTAGACCTACTACTGGTCTTGCTAAACCTTTCTTTATCTTTCTGGTCTGTGCTTTGCTTACTTTTTCAGTCAAACATATGCTGCAACTATTAGGAGTCCTGATTTGCAAGTTTAATGGTTATTGTATTGCTGCCTGAACTAATTTCATTTGAGAGCTGATAGCTTTATTTTGTAGCAATACGATTATCCTTGTTTGAAAGGTAATATTCTTGTGGCTGAGATTTTGGCTCTCTACCTTCCTAACTGCCCCAAGTATTAAAATAGCTTTTGCCAAGTCTGATTAAAATCACTGACAGTGGGGCTTTTATAATCTAATAAAGATAATGAGGTGTTTGTTCTGTTTCTGTCACAGTGGTGGAAGGTCATATATACTCATGTATAACAAGGGCTGACTTTGTAATCTCAAACTCCTCAGTTTATCATGATCTGATATTCTCCATAGAAACCATGCCTCCAAAGCCTGATACTTTCCAATGTTGGTGCAAATGGGCAATAGCTGCAGGAACAACATCTGAGGAAACAGTGACAGCATCTTTTAATAACCATTCTCCATCTCTGCTTCCACCAGAGATGACTTCCAGTGTAGACTGCAGATAGTGCTGTGTTCTCATGTGGCTTTTGTTAACTGCTCCCTGAAAAGATTGTTAAAAAAAAAATAATATCATGGATAACTGTGTTCCTTAGAGCATGCAAGACTAAGGAAGGACATTTTAGGTGGATTTTTCTGAGTGTCATCACTCACTTTGAGAAGAGCAGAATTACTCTGGTACTACATGTTTCTGAATATGCCATGACATTCTATGAGGGCATCTTATTTGTTACTACTACTTTGGAAAATTCAGGGTGCTCTAAGGTATTAGAGATAAATTGTGTGGGGTGGGGGTTTTTTTTGTGTATGTGTGTGTGGTTTTTCCTTGTGTGTTTATAAATTTTTTAAAAAAATATTAAATTACACTCTAGATTATGCTGTTTCTCCTTCTGAGAAGAAGAGTGGCACTGGTGTGAGTCTGCTTGATAGTCTTGGTGTAATTCCAACACTCATCATTATAGAATTGGTGGGGAAGGATCTACATTTGTGAACCTTGGGAATTACTGCTGTAGGAAGAAAAGAATTTATGTTCCTACCCAATAAGTTATGAGGAAGTTGTAGTCCTGGAATAGCTGGTTGATAGTGAAGTAAGATTTTGCACAGGGAAATTTAGGGAACGGGGACTTGATAGAGATGGACAGAATAGTTGCTAGATGCTGTGGAGTGCCTTTTGTTTTCCTGTATGTTCTCACCCTCATGTTTTGTATCTATCCTCTGTGCAGATTCACTTGGCTGTTTCCTCCCCTGAAATGGTTATAGTTAGTGCTAGGTGTAGCATGTATCTAAATTTTGTCATCATTTGTGATAGAAGCAGTATAAAGGATTTGATTGTCTTCACAGCTGTGTAGAATGACTGAAAATCCCAAGGAAACTCGATTAAAAAATGCATGTGAGTCTGCAGGTGGCTAGATCAC